TAAAATATGAAGCACGGAATGACAATGACTTTGATTTTTTAAGTTGTGAGTATGATTTAGATGAACTTAGATACACAGCAAGACATGCAATTCGTGTAATAAAGGTGTTTATAAAAGAAATAGGAAATAATATTTACAATGAACAAACAGTTGATAAAATAATGAAACGAATTGAAAGAGAACTTTTAAATTAATTAGAATAAAGTTGGACTCATACTATGATTATCACATGTAAAATCTTATATGTTATAATTGTAATATATTTATCGTTTGTAAAGATTGAATTATTATATTTTCCTAATTTGCTTATCTCTTTCAAAGTGCGTTGTTTAGACTTGGTATGCTTCTTCAATTTTTTCGTGCTTTGGCTGTTTGTTTTTGTTTTGTTTGATACTCTTGTGATATTTTTTGTTGGTATGTTGCTTTGTTTTTTGTTGATGTGTGTTTTTGAGTTTGGGTTCTTTGATGATTTAGAGTGTTGCTGTTTTGTTGGTATGCTTGTTTGAATTATTTAATGTTGTATGCTGTGATTAAATATTTTTGTTGGTGGTTGCGATTATTTATTTTGTTTGCTTGTTGTTCTGGATTTTGTTTTCTGTTTGTTGTGTTGCTGTTGGAAAAAATAGTAGAAAGAATAATTCTTTGAATTCTCCTTTTACTATTTTTTGGGGGAGGGCGGGGGAATCGTCAGGTAGTGGGGTGTCAGACGTGGTCAGCCGTGGCCGCTTCATGCCGAAGTCCAGAAGGGAGGCCTGAGAGGGGTCAGCCGGGCGTTTGCCGGATGATGTAGGTGTAGGGGGAGGTGAAGGGGATGGCGCTTGCTGTGCGAGTTGGCTGTGTGCGACGGCAAGCTGTTGCTGGAGCTGGAGGATGGTGGCAGCTGAAGCTGGGTCAGTCGTAGTGGTGGGTCGTAGGGAGATGAGGAAGTCGAAGATCTTGCTGGTTAGTAGCTTCATGGCTGCTGGTTTGGTGGTCGAGGTGCCCTCCTGTGTAGCGACGTGAAGAGCGAGGGCATCCAAGTCAAGATGTCGTTGTCGGATTTGGCTGAGTAGCCCAGCGGCGAAGACTGACTCCGGCATCGACTTTGCGACAACGATGCGTACCTCACCTCCATGGGCGAGGTGGCGCAACCACCAGCTGTTCCACTGTTCGTGCAGGAAGTTGAGGAGGGGAACGCGAGCGATGTCTTGTCCCTCAATGCCCAATTGCCGGGTGAACGCAGTATGCGTTATGACCTTGGGCAGGTCGTACCCTGCGACGCGGGTGGTGTCGTAGTGATCGTCGTCGGGGTTGAACTCTGCTGGTGTTGGGACTGAGTGGAGGGGGCGAAGAGCAGGAGGGGTTGTGGCCTTCGAGGCGGTGGAGGGAGGGGAGACAAGGGGGCCGCGGGTGAAGTTGCCGAGGGGAGGAGGGGGAAAATGGGCGCCGCTGGGAGGAGGGGGGGAAAGCCGGTGAAAGGGGGCCGGGGGCCGAGGGGCGGTGGAGTGGAGGGCTGGAAGTGGGAAGTGGGGTGGCCATGGAGTTGGAGGTGTAGTCGGTGGTGTCCAGGTCGTAGAGGAGCATCCGTAGCACAAGGCCCCAACAGGGTCCCCCACAAGGTTCCGGCCGTGTGGTTGCCGTACATGTTGCCATGGTGGTTGGATGCAGCGGGTGAAGGTTGCTGTGGATAGTTTTGCCTTTGGAGCATCGGTAACAAGCGTCGAGGGGGTTGGAAAGCCATGAGAAAACACAAGGGAAAGGGACCAAGTTCGAACCAAAGGCTGGCAAACGGCAACCAAAAGGAAGGGTCGTGTGGCGAACGATCGGTCACAGAAAAGGCAACAAAGCGAACAAACCGTGCATCAGTTCTTTTCCTGGTCAAATGGAATATGATACGGTTCGCGCCCCGCTACGCCGGGCGCTGCAGCGCGACACCTCTCAGCATGGCATACTTGGAGTGAATGCACCATTTCTTGCCTCTGCGGCATGCAAAGTGGCGCCGCACGTTGTGCTGGTCCTCGTGGCTTCCCCCGGACTCCAAGATCTTGCGCTGATTGACGGAGCGCAGTTCCCCAAAAGCGATGGCCCCAAGCTGAGACTTTCCGATGGTGAAGTTCTGCAAAAGCTGGCCTAGCGCGTCGGGATTGCAGGCTGTGGGAGTGGCCTGAGCATAGCATCCAAAGCTCGGGTAGTCATGGTTCTCAGGCCTCCATGCAGCAGGCCGGATCATGTTCTCAAAGGACATGCGGCGCATTCGATCCGGGGTGGTGCCGTGTACATACATGACAGCGTGATGGGAAGCTGTGCCGGATCCAGCTTCCGGTTGCCCACCAGCGACCGGCCAAGGGTGTGGTCGGGGTTGCGAACACCATGCCATGCGATTCCCGTCCCAAGAGATGGTAGAAGCTGGGGTCGAACGCTATAGGCTCATCCATGTCCATGGTTCGCAGTTCCCAGCATTCTGCGAGGAGGTCGGCATGTGAAGGTGGCAAGGCAGGGTCCAGGTTCCTCAAAATGGTCTTGGTCTGTTCCATTCTGGAGATGTCCAAGGCTGGAAGCGGGTCCAACTCCCCCAACTCCCTGGGCGTGGGAACTCGCATTGGGTCAGTCTTGGCTGTGTCCATGACGCCTCGCCATGGGTCAAGCCACCGGTTGTCGGAGTTTGTGCTGGGCTCTGCCTCCGATGGAGGGAGCTCCAGGTCTTCGGTATCATCCAAGGGGTGCTGGGGGGAGGGTTGGGGAGGAGCCGGGCGGGGAGGGGGGGTGGGGAAAGCCGCCGCGGGTGCAGGGGTAGGGGGCATGCTGGCGTTGTTGCGGCCAGTGCGGGGTGGGGGATGTGGTTGTTGCTCAGGTTGCTGCTGTGGCCAGGACTGTCGCTTGTCCTGACTGCTCCAGTTGCCCGTGTTGCTGGTGCTGTGGCGGTGTTTGCCCCAGTGGCGTGTGCTGTGGCTCTGCGGTGGGTGTCCCCACGATTGGTTCCACCAGCGTGGAGAGGACCATTGAGACTTGCCGGTGTCCCATCCGGAAGTGCGCCAGGAAGTGGGGAGGACCTGCGCCGGGGGGAGCGTGAGCGGAGGGAGATGGGGGTGCGGTGCGATCGCCTGGAGCGGCGGTGCGGCCGTGAGGGGGAATGTGACCGGCTGGAGCTGCGTGCCCGCCGGGTGGTGTGTCGCCGTGGCGACTTGTCGTGTCCACGGTGATGACTGGTGTGGGAGTGTGAGTGGCGGTGTCGTCTGTGACGGGAGCGGGATCTGCGGGATTGGGACTGGGGGTGAGTGTGCGTGGGATGTGGGTTGGTCGAGGAAGCGGCGGCAGGAGTCGTAGCAGCTGCATCGGCTGCGCGTGCCGGCTGAGGCTCGGGCAATGAAGATGGCATGCTGCTCTGAGCCATGAAGGGCATCAGGGCGCCGGACGTTGTGTTGCCAAAGTTAGGAAAACCACCGTAGGGCATCACGGACATCGGGTTGCCAAAGTTCGGGAGGCCACCATAGGGCATCATGGAAAACGGTGCAAAGGGCGTGGTCTGTGGGTTGGTTTTGGAGGTACGAGGCTCATGGGCTGCATCATCTGGGGTGACAACTGCAGGTTCGGTCCACCGCTGCCAGGTGAGCCGGACACGGTGCCGGCCGCAATGCTTTGCAGGAGCGAGTGCATCATGTCATAGAGCTGGTGTCCAGCCATCTCAAAAGGGAGAGAGAGGGTTGGAAAGGGGGTGGAAACAAAAACGACTGTGGCAGATTCAGTCATGCATGTCAAGGCAAGACATCGCGTCAAATCAAGTCAAGGTGTCAAATCAAGTCGTCGAATCAAGTCAAAGTGTCACCTAATCGTGAACGTGAATTGAACTGATCTGAGTCGGCGCAGTGCGTGAATCAATGAACTGCAAAGTCGGTGTCTGACCGGCTTGTCACTTGCGCATGAAGCTTCCGGAGCCTGATACCTTATGAGAGCTGCCTTGTTCAAAAGGCAGGCAGTGCAATGCGAATGAAGCTGCGGAGCCTGATGCCTCATGAGAGCTGCCTTGTTCAAAAGGCAGGCAGTGCAATGCGAAGGTGAACTGAACGTGAACTTTTGAACGTCATCCCCTTGCAGGGGGCTCCCGCATATGGCGAGTCCAGCCCACAGCGCCATGTCGGACAGGCCGTGGGTAAACACACTTATCTCGAGAGGCTTCACTAGCCGAGATGAAAACCGCAGTCAGTAAAAATGCTTGAATGCAAATGCAGAGCAACAGGTCACAACATCGACACCGAACAGGAAGCAACAGCGACAAACAGGAACCGCAAAAGGAATCAGGAAAGAGAGATTGCAGGTACGTCCAGCTGGCCAAGCTGGATATCCCACTTCACTGGTAGCTTCGTTGGACACAGTCCCAGTGAAGTGCTGTGTCCCCCTGCTCAGGAAAAACTCCGAAGGGTTTAACGTCCGTGTTCCAGGACGGTTCACACACACACACACACTCTCACACCCTTCTGCAAACCAACGTCTATGTTGACACGTGCCTCGGATCCAACGACGTACACTGCAAATCCAACACACATCAAGTCCAACTCTGTGAACTTCTGGCCACGAGCCCCTGGTAAGAGGCAGCGCCGCATCTGCGACGTGATTTCCAAGTCTGGGCCCTTCTGGCCTTTCTTACCGATCTCCAGGCACCCGCTGCCCTAATCCATTTCGCACCACTTTGAAACCATGGTTTCAGCAACATCGTTTGTTGGCATTTACGTTGGGGAATCGAATGAGAAACCAGGGCTTCTGAACGGTGGAGCGCAGTGGATTTTGCAACCACAGCATCATGTGCCCATGAGCTGAACAAAACCAGACCACAACCGAAAACATGGTGCACACAATCCCCGACCGATGTTTGGCTGAACCAAGCACCTGCCCTGGCACTTTGCCAGTCACTAAACAACAAGTGCCACTGCAAAAACTGTTCGGTCAACGAAGCTCGTAGCATGAGTGATCAAACAACACCTACCAACAAACCTTGAAAGGTTCTTTCCCCCCATGTTCCTCCCGGCCGTCACCTGCTTCTCTTTGCAGAAGTCCTCCGCTGTCATGTAGAGCACGATGTTGCGCCCTGCCATCAGAGCTCCTTTACTCCTCTAAAGATCCTTATCAGCCTTGCTAGGGCCTAATTTGGGGGTACCTGAAAATGTGAAAAGGGAGGGGGCGTGGCTGGGAAAGGGGTGCATCACCTGTCCCTTTCAGACTGGGTCTAGGCTCATGAGACTTCCAGGGAAGATCATCAAGGCAACACGGCGTTGCTCCAAAAACCAACAAGGAAGTTGAGGGGTCCAGGCTCGACCCCTCAGAAGACACATCTATGTGGAGCAGATTTTAGACTTGTCGATCAGGGAGTCTGGGCAACATGGGGTATGGGCTTGTCTCCGACTGGGGAACCGTTTCAAAGGGCAAGCAAAGGAAAGACCCACCACTTGGAGTGTCCCTAAAGTAGCATCCGAATCAAGTGTCCCACCAGTTTCGTCGCTATTCTGTAGGGGTTGATTCCCCATTCTTCTCAACCATCGTTCTTTTCCAAAACCAGCTGTTTCCCCGGGGTTTTGGGTGGTTTTGTAGAAAGAAGGATGCCTGGAAGGCACCCCTAGATTTATTTCGGTGGCCCACACTGGTCTTTGCATCCAGCCCCCTTTTCGCGCCTGTAAAGGGCAGCCGCGCCGCGCGCATCCGGACGTCCTTTTTTTTGGCCCCTGACTCGCAAGGCTCCGATCCGAACCGGTTTGGGGCAGTGCGGGAGGAGCCTGGGAGCCATCAGAAGGGTCAAAAGGGGGAGTCAAATCGCAGTGGCTCAACAAAAGTGGTAAATGGCACCTTGGTACGTGGAACCAAAGACTAAAACCCGCGGTTGGCCCCAGCTCTTTAATTTTGAGCCATACCCAAATAAACAGGTGAGTTTGAACAAACAAGGTGGCCATTTTGTACCGAGATCGTCATTCAGGTCTGAATTGAGCTGATCAACATGGAGAGGTGGAAAGCCGATTGTCTTGAACAGGGCAACCATCAGGGAACCACGAGGGATAAAGCCGAGCGGCAGAGCAGCTTGGGGGTGGGGCGAAGATCATCAGTACCCTGAATCTTTCTACCTGGAAAGCTCTCTCTGGAGGTTTCCCAGTGAAAACCAGTGGGCGCAAGTGCCTGCACTCCATGTGCATAAAGAAAGGATTCGGGCCCCCTTGTAGCAACTGAGACTTCGGATCAATGTGATTGTCTTTTGCGCCAGCTGTCTGGAATCAGTAGTGACCACATTCGAGCATGGGCCTCCATGCAAATTCCCTTGCCCACAAGACCCGGGGGAAACACATTCATTGATCTAAGATCACAACAATTGTTGAAACCAAAGGGCGAGCATTGGCTCACTTAGCATTTTGCAAAACATGGCACCCCGTATCGGTTTGGGAACTCAATCGGACAACGTGCCCCTGAGGTATATGTGCCCCTGATATAAACAGGGGCGCCTACCTTAAGCCCGATTCCACTTAAACACCGCCAGTCCTTCTCACGCAAAAAGCGCAGCAGGCCAGTGTAGCCTACCGTCGGGTCTGAGGAGGCACGCTCCAGCATCCACCAGGGCTCTGTACATGGATCTGTGTCAAAACCGGACCCCCCAAGAACCCTTGGTTTCCTTTTGGCTTCCCCTTTTCCAGCCAATTCGGAAAGGGCAACACACACACACACACTCACACTCACACTCACACTCACACTCACACTCACACTCACACTCACACTCACCCATCCAGGCATGCATGCACGCATACGCGTGTGCGCAAGTGCATTTCAGAGGCTCTCGGCCCCGCACCTGTCACCCCCCCGCCGTTCCAGAGCCGACGCTGGTGGAAGAGCCGCGGGAACACGCAGCAGGGCACCACCTCTGCGGCTTCGCAGGGGTTGACCGGTTGGCGAGTCCCCAAAATGGGCTGGAAGTCGGACCCCAGCACATATATATATATATATGTATGTATGTGTATATTTGTTGCCTGGTCAGTGTAAAACAATGGGGAACCCAAAAGAAGAATAATACTCAAACGAAAAGGGGAGCTACTTCTGGAGAAGACACACGTCGTCTCAAAATGAGGAACCTCCTTTTGGGGGGAAAAAAAGGAAACAAAACACCTGGGCTCCAACATTTCGAGAAACACCAATGTCCTCTTTTGATTCATGGGCCCGAGTTCTTGCCAGAGCTCCGGGCCGTGTTTTATGAGACTGTGTTCTTCTAAGAGAACCATTTGGGGGCTTGCAGATGACAAATCAGACTCTCATTTGGGGGATCCCCTCCCTTCCGAGAAACCCTGGGCTTCCGTCTACCTTGGGCTTTGCAACAACGCATAACGCGTGCGCACTATTGCCATGAATTACCCAGCTGTCCAGCCTGAAATCTGTGCGCTGAAATCGCACATCTGAAAGCTGAGTCGCCAAGATTTGCCCACAATCAAAACCTGGTCGAGCGGACCACCCGAAACCCATAAGAAGGCGGCGCCAATTATGGCCAAAGGACTGTCCGCGTCTGGGTTTTGACGCTTGCTCTCATGACTTAAATTTGGTTTCGGGCTAATAGCTTGCCCAGAAAACCACGGAACCCTGCTCCACCCCCCACATCCCCCGCAATAAAAACAAAGTTTACTTCCACATGGGAAATAACTTCCTGGGTTTTGAGGCCTTCCTTGGGTTTGCAATTGAACACTCGGTATATCATCTAAAAAGGAGGTTGTTGCATTAGACCCCTGTCCATCACATGGGGGCCTGCGGTGAGCTATTCTTGTTTAAACCCGAAAGAATACCGACAGGGGACGGGCAACTTGTTTCTTGCATATGCTCAGTTAGTCCAAAAGACTCAGAAATACAAGGTTCACCTTTTGGGGCCACTAAAACCGAACAAAGGGAAAACCAAAATCTCAAAAGGTCGATTCACCCCCTTTTTCGGGCGTTAAAGGGAAACCAAAAGGAGAACACCCCCCCTTTGTGTGTATGTAGATATATATATATATACATGTGTCCCATCAAAAAAAGGCGAGCCACCCACCTGAACCCTTACCAGTTCGCTGGAGTGCCCCCCAACCGCCCCGAGCACCACCCCACCCCCCGCCGCGAAGGGCTTCTGCGCTGCCAGCGCCGCGTCCACCACGGCGTCCGTGGCCTCGCGGAGGCGCGGCGCCGAAAAGGAACGACGTCAACGTCGGGGTACCCCAACGTTGGGGTGGATTTAAGGGGAAAATCAACGGAGAACAAGTTTTTGTTTGGTTTTGCTTTGATTTTTTGTGTTGGGGGAGGGGGGGGGGGTGGTTTTCCCTCCAGCAGACAACTCAGAGGCCACGAACGGCTTTGTTTTGCTCCTTTTTTGTTGGGGGGGGGTTGGTTTACCTACCTAAGGGGACCCCCCAGTTGGATAAAATCCCCTCAACCGACCAATTCACATAATATGTTTTCATCATTTCATAACAGAACCTCAACTCAAGATTTGATACATAAATTTTGCAAATATTTTTCTAAATTTTCAAAAATATATTTTTCCAAAATCCCAAATTCCCAAAAGATATTTTTCCAAAATCCCAAATCCCAAAATCCCCATAATTTCAAAACATAAATCTTACAATGTTTTTATTGTAAGGTTTATGGTGTAATTTATAGTTTAAGTTCAGGATAATAATTTAATTGATGACTACTAAGTTGTAAATATATTTTACTTCTTTCATGCATAATATTTAATATAATATTAATATCTCTCACTGTATTTTTGACATTAAACTTGTTTCTTTCAATATATGTTTTAATGTCTTCTTTTACATCAAACCCTTCCCTACTATGATAAGTCAACATCCATAATATACCTTCAATCATTTTATATTTTTTCTTACTGATTTTCAGAAATGCTCTAACATAACTATAAGGTGGTCTTTCATACACAATTAAAAATATCAAAATGTCATCTTCTACATTTCTATTATGTCTTCCTTTTATTCTCAACACACAACTGATTATAGCTTGGTTATCTCTCCAGGTTTTACAATTTTCATATAAATCTTCTTCACCCAAAGCATAATCAATAATATTATTTATTATTCCATTAGGTAAGTTTAATTTATACAATTCCATATTTTCCTTTTTAAAGTGGCAACAGTCATAGCATTTCTTATTAATATACTTGTTGATTTCAATACCGCTCATTTCTTCACTATTAATATAAGGTGTTTTTTCTTTAGGACTATTTCGCGTAAAACTAAATTATTAATTTAAGTCTTTCTATTATTTTATCACACGTTGTTTCATTATAAATATTACTTCCTATTTTTGTTCTAAACAGTCTCATTGTTGTAATTGCATGTGTGATTGTATATCTAAGTTCGTCAATTCTATACTCATTATTTAAAAACTCATTTAAAAAATCAAACAATACAACGTATTTTAAACGTTTAATATTAAAAGACATATTGTATAATCTTTTTACCATACAATAATACTTAAAAATAAATTCATTATTATATCCTTCATCGTCACATTCTAATAAATTATCAAACCCTTCTATAGTTAACAAATTATTCATTTCAATAAACACAAATATTTCTAAATCATCATCAAGAGTTTCATTATTTATAATATCAATATCCTTGTTATTCATATCATCATTTTTTTTATAATTCTATTGCAATTATTGCATATCATATATTGACAAATATTATTACAAACGCCATTTGCAAAACCCCGTTCAATTGGTAATTTGAGCATTTCACAGTCTTTACATTTATAACTCATAAACTTGTTTTCAATATATTTTTAGCATTGATACCGACTGTATCACTCATTCCGCTATAATATATTAAGTTATCATTTCTTCAAGTCATTTTGAAATCATAAATCTTACAATGTTTTTTATTGTAAGGTTTATGGGTTAAAATAATAGTCAGGCAATATGTCTTCAAATATGTAATCTACATATTTACCTATATCATCTTCATCTATATATTTGATATTGTCTTTTCCTATTATTGAATAAATATATTCCCAGAAAAACAAATTCACTAATAGACATACTTTATATTTAGTGTTGTAGTAATACCATATACTATATTCAGTTACTCTAAATTCGTTCAAGACTTCGTTTATTTTATCTTTGTCTAATAAATGCCAGTCAATCCATTCAAACAAATAACGGTATTTTTTGACAAATGCTTTATATGGTTTAATTGCGTTTATTCCTCCAAACCTCCTAATTAAATCTATATTACTAAAGAATTCATCAATTTCATTTTCATATGACTTTCTGGAAATCTTCTGGTAAAAGTGTATAGGAAATCTTGCTTGGTGTCGCATAAAGAATTTTAACTGTAATTGAAACTTTGTATATCCCTTATCCTTATGTTCTTCAAGAAAAAACTTTTCAAGGTCTCTTGTTATACAGCATTGATTGCAGTATACATTATATTCACTTATTTTATTACATACATTTGCTGGTAGTATATGATGCAAGGTTAAACTCAAATCATTCATTTTGCATTTACAGCATTCGCACTTGTTATAGTTAAACAACATTTCACTAATATTATAAGGCGTTTTTTCTTTAACTGTATTTCGTTTAATATTAAACTTTTAATAATTCGTGTCTCAAATAAGGATTAGTTTTTCCTTCCAAATGAAAGTAAGATTGCCCTAATTTATTGTCAATTGATTTTACTTTAAATACTTCTTTTAACCAATGACTGGTATGTGCCTTTTCGCTTATGCCTTTCTTCCTCATTATTTTTACATTACTACCCACTGACAACTCAGGGTATTTTCTAGTATTTCTTGCTTGCATTGTAATATTCATTTTTACCTCAAATTCATTCTTTTTTAATCTTGCCTGTGCTGGAACAAAGCGGGTGGCAGAATGCACCATCTTATTATTGTAAGTTAATAATATTTCAAAAATATAATCCGTCCATTGGATATTCTGCTTTCCATTTTTCTTGTCCGCTTCAACTCGTTTAAACAGTTGGTCTTTAAAAGTCTGAATTCCACGCTCCGCAAATGCTGGATGACCTCTAGTTCTATGTAATTCAATTTTCTCCTCCTTCAAATAATCTAATACTGATTGATTAAAAAAACTGCCTTCCTCGTCGGTATAAATTAATTTCGGTTTGCCACCCATCTTATTGATATTCTCCATCATTCCTGCTAAAATGTCTGGCGGTGTCTTGGATTTAATTGGCACGATATGCATATATTTGCTAAATATATCAATGCATATCATACCAATTTTAAATGTTTGATTTTCCAAATCATTTTTAGAAATGAAAAACATATCAACTTGAAATTCCCAGAAACTATGCGGAGCAATAAAACTATTTTCACCTCTCATCTTTCTTTTTTCTTCTACATTCTTACTAAAGAATTCATTAATATCGTTAATTGTAATACTACTATCTTTTTGCTTAGCATCCTTGAGGGTTGTTTGTTTTGAACCATAACCGCTTCTATCATAATATACACTCTTAATAATTTCTTGTGTTGAACTCATTAATTAAGTTAATAAAATAATTTTGAAAAACTCATTTTCAAAATTATTCATGACGCGCTGCAATTGCAATAGACACAAAAGGCGGTGCAGTTTTCAACTGTGTGGCATAACTCATTATCACAACGTTGAGCAGTGAAGTTAGAACTTATTTTTCCTCCTCTTGTATCTAGATTAAATTTAATTCCGCAGTTTTGGCAACAGGATTTGAAGTATTTTAAGCACCAGTTTTCGTCAATGTATTGCTCTTCGTCTATTTCTCTTTTTGCTACTCTATCTTGCTGTTTATATCCTTCAACTTTGTTTTTAAAATAGTTGATTACCAAACTCTTAAACATATCTTCATCTCCCTCTTTGTTCTTGTAAAAATAGACATTGTTAAAATCCCTCGCTCGTGTGATACTCGTCCACAACCATTCCCTACAAACTAAATAATCTTTGTTCCATTCGTGAATGGTCATATTATCACTGATTGATGTCCCCTGTCTGCTATGAGTGGTAGCACAGTAGGCATATCTAAAATGCTTATCTACAATATCAATGTCAAGTGTTCTAATGTTCTCTGCATCCTTAATATCTTGTATTGTTATCTTGTATCCTTCGTTATTAACAACCTTCCACCTAATATTAACATTCAGTTTTCCTTCCTTGTCCTTTTTGTAAAGTCTGCATATTAAGATTTCTCCAATTTCATATTTGCATGTTTTACCTAATCTTTTTCTAATCTCATTGGATACTGCCTCACATCTAATATTTGTATATGCTATGTTGTTTTCACTATTCATAACATCTTTAGTAAATTTGAAATGCTTAACTATCCATTCTTCAACTGCCATCTTTTTAATCCAAAAGTCATCATAGATTTCATTCAGTTTCTTTCTGTTTCTTTCTCCTTCTTCTGTATCCTTACCACCTACTCGCTTACATATCTTTAAAAATATATTATATTTAAAAATAATGTCAATACATTTGTCAATGTATTCGCCTGCGTTTTGAGTATTAGTGAAAGGTTCAATCGGTGGCAGTTGCTTGACATCACCGGCACCTATAATTACGATGTCAGGATTGTTATTTGCAAACACCCTTATTTTGTTCAATATGTAAGGACTGGACATATAAATCTCATCAAACACTATACATTGAAAATCTGAATAATCAAACTTTGGTAGGTCATCCCCTTTATCAACTGGAATACTAAAGAATGCATTTACTGTCACCGCTTCGCATTCAATCTCTTGTTTTAACATATTTTGAGGCACTACAAAAAGTGTATTGTGACCTAAATTTTCCATATACTTGCCTATAAAACTTTTACCGCTCCCAGCAAATCTTGCTCTAATCATAACTCTTCTTTTTTCAATAATCTTATTACAGATGCTTTCAACATCCCACTCATCTTCAATCGGTATTGTTTCATTCTGAAAAGTTGGTATTTTTACTAATTCATTAAATTTCCAATTGTAATCAGTTTCCAGTTCATAGACTTTATTATTTTCTACTCTCCAACCTCCAATATCATTATGAAAATCTAACAACTTCTTTGCCTTTCCTTACATCTTTCTTTGCAATATGAAAGGCATCGGTTTTCACCGCATAAACTTTAATACTATTTGCTTTAAGTTTTTCGTATGCTTCATACATTGCAA